GTACAAGGCCAGATGTATCGTATGCCCTGAGTGCAACGAGTCGATACCAATTGAACCCAGGAGAGGCGCATTGGACTGCGGCCAAGAACATCCTTAAGTACATGAAAAGGAACAAGGATAAATTCCTAGTGTATGGAGGCCACAAAGAACTGGTTGTTGAAGGTTACACCGACGCTAGCTTCCAGACTGACAGAGACGACTTCAAGTCACAGTCGGGGTACATATTCTGTCTGAATGGAGGAGCGTTTAGCTGGAAGAGTGCCAAGCAGAGCACCACTGTAGACTCTACAACTGAAGCCGAGTACTTGGCCGCTTCAGAAGCTGCCAAGGAAGCTGTTTGGATTCGCAAGTTCATTAGCGAACTTGGTGTTGTACCCTCAATCAAGGGGCCGATAGACCTCTATTGTGATAATAATGCAGCTATCGCTCAGGCCAGGGAGCCGAGAGAACACCAGAAGGTCAAACACGTGCAAAGGCGATTTCACATGATAAAGGAATGGAAATCCGAAGGTGAAATCAGAATTTGTAAGATCGGCACGGATGATAATGTAGCCGATCCTTTGACTAAACCTTTGCCTCAAGTGAAACACAACAAGCACGTTGAGGCAATGGGAATTAAGCATGTTGGAGACTGGCTTTGAAATTCCCTGTACATGTGTTTTAATTAAATAGGATATTTAATGTAAGACACTATACTAAAACCATACATTAATGGAGTAATTAATTTTGTGCAAAATTATCATTCACTCCATTACTATTTAATTCTGGTTTAGAATTAAATAATGAGTCCATTCGATTTACGGAAATATTCAAAACAGGGTATCAAGACCACGTCTTGGATAAAGAAACACCTGTTAAGTGAACATTGAATATTAAATCGAAAAGTGTCCCTAATCAAGGTCATCTAACAGATGGACGATTGATGACCGCCATAGATTAGTGTATAGTATGATTTACAGCACCGTTTCTTGTGCTGCGAGGACGTGACGGTCATAAATCATTTACACAGGTACAGTTTGGAACTGTACTGGATAAGACCTATGAGAGTACTTTAAGAAGTTTAAATTTTGTCATAAGTACATTTCTCATTATAACTATCGGAACTTATTTCCTCCGACCATGAGTACTGTGAATTTTTCTTGTTTGAGTACTAGACTCTTTGATGTTTCCAAACGTCTACCGTAACTGGGGATCATAACGGGAACACTCGGGAGACTATGTCCTCTTAGTAAGAAGAACTTACAATACAAGACTGGGATTGTCCCCCTACTAACAATAGGGAAAATGTTTTGTTGTTTACAAGGCCGCTCGAAGAGTGAGACTGTGAAAATGCATGGCCATGCTCAGATGGATTTTAGAAATCATCTACTTATTGACAGTCGAACTCGGAGATCGAGAAACACTTCTAAACGTAATAAGGATGACAAAGAATCTTACCTTATAGTTCACGAAGAATCATTAAGTACATAGGAAATGAGCTATACACTGTATGCACACTTGTCCGGAAGGACTAGTGGGAGATTGAAAGGAATGGTGTCCTTCCAACAAGTGTATTCTTCCGATAGAGGGTTCAGAATTATTACAGAGCTAATTCTTCAGTAAGGTCAAGTGATCGGAATGCCTAGGTGGAGGCCGCTTCTGATCAGTAATATCGAGGTACAATTGATATTACAGCTTAATCTTAACTGAACCCTTCGGGTCGAACCCAATCGAATCGCCGATCCGAGACGAAGAATTAATCCGAAAGGATTTAATGAGTCGACAGAGTTTTACGAATACAGACGTCGGACATCGAGCCTAGGGCGTCGAGACCGAGCGTCACAAAATCACAATCGACAAGTATGAGCGTAGCCATAGCTAAGCTAGGCTAGCTCATCATAGGCACTAGGTGCGCCATAGCAGCCCTAGCATCATGCCTAGGCGCTGTCGCAGCCCTAGCGTGATGGCTAGGCACCATGGCTGGCTATCGCTAGCACCAGGCGCGCCAACACAGCCCTGGCATCATGCCTAGGCGCTATCGCAGCCCTAGCATGATGATGGGCGCCATCGCAAGCCAGCAGCATCACTAGGCGCACCATGCGTGGCCTAGGATGGCTGGGCGCCATAGCAGCCCATCGCAAGCCTATGCGCATCACTAGGCGCACCATGCGTGGCCTAGGATGGCTGGGCACCATCGCAGCCCAGGCAGCATCACTAGGCGCACCATGCGTTCCCTAGGATGGCCTGGTGTTGTAGCAGCCCTAGCATACTGTTGGGCGCATGGAAGAACCACATGCACCAAGCACAACTAGTGCTAGGCACTGGCGCATGCGTGGTGCTTGGGCGAGGCATGTGCGTTCATGGTGCATGGTGCATGGCCGAAACTGATGCGTGTGGCTGTGCGAGAGTGTGTGCGAGGGGCTAGCGAGCTAGAAACGGCAAGCCAAGCATGCGTGGCTCGCTAGCAGCACGCATGCTAGGCATTGCGTGCGAGAGAGATGTGTGGCGCGCATGATGTGGGAGTGTGGTGCGTAGCGAGAGGCCAGCATGCATGGCTCGCTAGCAGCACGCATGTTGGGCCATGCGAGCAGCGATGATGCGTGGGATGCTGGCACCAGCGCCAGCACGCACCAGCCAACATCAGCGCCAGCACGCACCAGCCAGCACCAGCGCCAGCACGCACCAGCAAGCATCAGCGATGCTGCTGGGCTTGTGCTAGCATGCTGGGCTAGCTAGCACAACCAGCTGGCGTGCTAGCTGGCAGCTGGGCAGCAACCTTAGGTGAGGCGGTTTGTGAGGAGAGTGGGGACCAAGGCTTTTTGGAAAGCCTTGGGGAGCAAGGCATTGGTCCCCCCACCTCTCCATGGTCCTCACCTAATACTCTCTCTCCCTTTGACACTTGTCGAATTGTGATTGCATTTATTTATTGATTTATTTTAGAAATAAATTAATTAGCAAATAAAACATTCCCCACATTGGTTGGGGAATGAAAATCAAGGGATCATTTCCTTATAAATACCAAGCTTGGTATTGGGAATTGATACAACCTTGAGTGGAATTAAAAAGGCAACTCTAAGAAAAGAGTAAACCTTTGATTCGTAAAAACTCATAGTTATTTTTGTCTCGGGTCGGGTCGAGGGTACGATCCGTGGGAGATCTCGTCTTTTCGGGATTATGAAGTAAGAGCTCTTTGGGAGCGAAGCACGCGTCAAAGGTATAATTCTTGTTCTTAATCTTGTTTGATTAAGTTTATTATGCTTGTTTAATTTCTTTAATTAAGGGGCGGGTCTTGGTGGGTTTCCTTCCGCGTAGTGTCGGGTCACTACGAAACCCTACAATGCCTGTCCTTGATTGACTTTGTCTTCGCAGAGTGAGAAGGTTTCTTGGACGATTGTCCTTTGCTTGGACCAGCCGTATGGGTCTTAATGAGATCTCTCATCTCACCTTTGAAGTTCATCATGAACTTTGCAAACTCCTCACGAGTGATGTGAGCTGTCTGTCCTATAGCCTGAGGCTGGCCGGCTGACTAGCTCGGACCCACCTGATCACCGCCCCGTTCCCTGTTATCCTTGGAACGGACGCGTTTAGTGATGAGGGATCCATCTTTGGCTAGAAATACTTCAACCTCTGGATCCGACTCTGTATCATGGTCCAAATGGACTTCAGCTAACGGATGCTTTTCCTCGGAAGGGGGTACAGTCTCTTGAGAAACCATCTTAGAGGTACTCTCCCCCACATACGGCGCCAAATGTTTTGGGGGTTTTTGCGAGATGTCCTGCGGGAGAGTTACGTCACCAAGACTGACTGCTCTTCAGTTGTACCTGCAAACACACGAAAGCTCCGGGGGTTCGGAGTTCCGCCTCCGACGATCAAGTTAGAAACGGTCGAAGTAAAGTAAATGTGCGGAAAGTAAAAGTCTTCTCGTATCCCGACATCTGGTGTTTTCTCTGATGTGAGAGAATTGATTGTGATGTAATAAATGAATGTGCCCCTAAAATGGAGTAAATGTCCCTATTTACAGGGCACTGGAAATCAGCGCCCCAATTCTAGGTCATCAACCTAGGTAAGTGGGTTGCGCCGTTTTTACGGCGTATCGGGATTTGGGCCTCTGAAGGCCGCCTTTTTCCCTAATGATTGGGAATGCGACGTGTCAACTGGTGATTGGTCCTTTTTGGACCTCTCCTGGGGTGACACATGTCCCCTTCTGATTGAGCCACGTGGCCTGGGTATTTTTACCCAAATCACGATAGTTTTGAAAAGATGGAGTAAAAGTGAAATTATTTATTTTCATTTTTCCTTTTTTTTAATTTATTTCTTTTTTACAAATTCCCCCTTTTTCTTTACATTTATGAAATTTCTATATAAAGTTAAATTTTGACAAAGTTACCCTTGCTTTGTTTTTTATTTCCCATGTCCTCAATTTTGCATGTTGTAGTGTACCTTTTTCAATTTTACATACTTCCTCCGTTCTTGTATTATTGCACCATTCGGTTGAGCACAAGATTTTTCGTAGTGGAAAAAAATATTAGAAAGAATAATAAAAATACAAAATTGTCCATGTGATTTTATATACAAAAACTAAACATTCAAGTGTTGAATAGCAAGAGTATATTAGTTAGGTATTTTGCAATGTGAATATAGATATTTCTTTTTCTAAAATGAATATGGTATAATATTTGTAAAAGTTCCTTAAAAAGCAAGTGGTTCAATATTTAAAAAACAAAAGAAGTAAATTAATTTAATAATTACAATACTCATTATTACTCTCTCATTTCTTTTCTTCAATAATTTCTATGTCATTTTTTTAATCCCCTATAGCATTTTCTCAACCACAAAAATGCCTATATAATTATTTTTCCTTAAAACTCGCGAATAATTCCAAACGTAAAGAACAAATCGGAACGGATGGAAAATTTAACAACATATTTCATGGTATAATTTGGTTTTTTACATTACTAAAAAACTAATGGTCAAAGTTAGCATATGAAGAGTTAGAAATAAAAAATAAAAAATCAAACAAAGGTAGTAATTCTAGGAGTTAATTGACACAAAGAATATCTTACAATTATAGCAAAATCACTGTGTGACTAAGGAATCAAAGTAGATGCTATAAAAACATGGCATTACAACCTGGCAATAAAATCTCTTTTCCATCTAGTTCAAGATGGCAAGCCTTTAAACACTTCAAAAGATCTGAAAATCTTGCAACATTATACTATATAATAATGACTAATCTAACAAGAATCAGGATAAAGTTAAGGTACCTACTCCTGAAAGCCATCTAGGCTCATCACTAATCGATAATTAACAAAGCCTTAACCTTAAAATGGAGGACCGAAAATCAAACTGCCGTTCAACAAGCTTAAAACCGACTCTTCTGGTGCCCTAACTCCTCAAGATAATAAAAAGACCAATAAATTTTTTTAAAAAATTTCAAAAATGACGAGGCAGCTGGTTATCTCTGATACAATTGCAACTGTGATGAGATCAGAAAACTGATTATCCATTTTCAGTAAACATGGTGAGCCCAATACAATTAACCTGAATCACATGGACCAGGCCAAAAGAAATAGGGTAGACAGAGTTGCGGGTAAGCAAGAATCACAACTACATATTATATACAAGCTTATCAGTCAACTCACAATGCAAGATTCTAAATTTCTGTACGATCCAGCACATTAAAGACCCCATGCTTTCCCCATGGCTGAGATCATCTCAATCAAAGAACTTATCATCTCAATCAAAGAAGAACTTTTAAATCCCATTTGCCCACCACCTCACGTAGGTAAGTACATCTGCCAATACATTACAGGAATTATCTCACAGGATCATGCATATTAGTCTGCTCTTAGCCTCAAAATCTCCTTTGCTGTTCTTTGTCGAAAATAAGGCATGTTTTCCTACAATAAGAAAATTATTTAATCAAAAACCAGGAGTTTACATGTTTATACCATATAAAAAATGCAAGGTTAGCCAATGTTGATGTCCAAAAACATGGGCAGGTTAAATTTAGGCAAGGGCATTATATTTCACTGTCAAGACAAGTAACAATTGAACATGATCTGGCACCAGTTAGGATGTTAAGCAACAAAATGCAATAGCATGTAACAACAATCTAGCAATCATCTTCAAACGAATTATCCCATCATATGTCGATAAAATCTGGAAAACCACGGGGTAAAAATGTTATCTTCGAAGCTCATTAAGGAAAGAGCAAGTGGCCTACAGTGATTCACAATGAGGGTAGTCACCATCCTGCACAACTCAGTAAATGTAAGTATACACTACTATTACTGAGCTTCTTAAAATGAGATGTGTGTGTGTGTGTGTGTGTGTGTGTGTGTGTGTGTGTGTGAGAGAGAGAGAGAGAGAGAGAGAGAGAGAGAGAGAGACTGTCTATAATGGGTATATTAATAATTGTCAATCACAATATGCTAGTGTCGTTCTTCTTGCTGTTTTAAAACCTACCTCGTATATGCGACTCTACCTTGTCAAATCCCTAGTTATCAGATTGGGCTGCATAGCATTGTGTCTCATTAACCTCTCACTCGAGAACACAATTATCACCTAAAATTTGGGTAAATAATCACATTTGCTCAAATTTACAAAACAAGAGCTCAACCAAAGATGCTAGATGGATGACATTGATAAAAGAATTCTGAATTGATGCTTAACAGTGAACAGTTTAATAGAATACAAACTTTTTTTTAATGGGAGATTCATCAATGAAATTGGCAACAAAAGCGTCAGAACTCAAAAGAAGAGTAGGTGACCAAAGTTGGGGAATTTGAGGATGAATTGGAGAGGGAATGGGATTTGGGTTATTAATCAAGGAACGGGGGAAGCTAATTTGGCTAAGAGCTACGTGATTTGGGAGAGAGGATTAAAAATTGAAGGGAGAGATGAGAAGTGAGAGAGCCAGACAGAGTCAACGCCATTGTTGAAGCGTAGAGCAAATGAAGGAGGTATTAGTTGACGTGAAACAAGAACAAACAATTATCAGACGATGTAATTTTTTGTTTTCAGTTTTCACAATATATGTTTATAGTGGGTGGATCCTTCTATATATTTTAGCAATAGGTTGTGTAGCAAACAATTATCTGGGAGAAAAAAGATAAATGTGGTTGAACTAAGCTCCACAGACCTGATGAAAAATATCCACTGCCTTTTTATATACACCCGGGTGCACATAGAGATAGGTGCACCCATATTATAATCTATTGAGCATAGTTTATGGGATTCATACTAGTTTCTACCTCACAATGAAAACACTCCTTTTCAATATGGACAACAATGGGATTAGAGTTATTACCCACAATGCTTTTAAGAATAAAGAAACATTTTATGCCAGTACTATAGACTAAACCAGTTGGCAATTATAATTGAGGTGGTATACATCTAGACAGGCCTTTCTTCTTGCTAAAAGAACTTGTCACATATGCTCCATATAATTTGCTAGATCACAATTAAAACAGAATACTTCTAGGAGGTTTAAAAAGAATGATCGGTCAATTTATATACAGAAAAGGAGCAGAAGGAATTCCAATGTAAAGTAATTGCAGTTAACCCGAGTTACATACCTGGGAAAAATGTAGCCCCAAGCCTCTGCTATAAAAATCAGCATACTTGACCATAAACACACCACAATCATACCTGTTCCAAAGCATAACTTGATTCAAAACAACATTTATAACAATTAAACTACAAACAAACAAAAAGTTAAAGCAAAAGCAACCTTACTCCTTAAAAGAAACAGAATGGGAGGAGAAAATGAGAAAAATGAAGAAAAAAAAAAAAAAAAAAAAAAAAAGACCATCTACAATTTTGGAAAAATAAACTACTCAGTATATCTGTAGCAGGTGAAGATAAAATTATTATATTTATCTTGGGTAAGTTTAAAAAAAGATATGCGCATAGAGCTATAATTCATTCTTACATAGTTGTCAATAAGAGTACAAGTCAAAATACTCTTAACAAATTAAGAGAATTAATGTAAGCCACATGAAATAGCATTTCTCTTTGATACTAGCGTTTTCATCTTCACATTGGATTTTGATATAGTTTATCCATGAGCAAATGCAAGACAACTCATATATGAACAATATTCATCTTCAAACCCCAACAACAGGTGAAGTCTGCAAAGGGTAACTGACAGTTGCATATGTGTCATTGTGTCTCCCTTTAGAGATCCCCAACATCCTCTTGGCCTCAATATAGAGATATACCTTTAATATGAGATACTAACTTTATCTCAGCATGATTGGCATTCTTTGTTCTTGTATCATATATGGAGGACTACTTGGCCACTTCACTATGAAATTAATTATCAATTAATAATTACAAAATCCTATTAGAGCTAAGTAGACTTAAACCCAAGGAATAAGGAGTAAGGTTAAAAATCTTGTTTTAACTTGTTTCCTTTAGAGCTAAGGTTAAAAACAACCTCTACTTGTTTTAACTTGCTACGTAAAGCTTTTTTGAAGTTCAGGTAATAATGTTCATCACCGAATCTCATAATGTTAAATTGTAAATCATATAACGTTAGTAACTATTGTTTGGAAAACAAAAGATTCTGGTACACAGTGTATATGGAAACAAGGACTTGTTCTCATGGAATGCAGAACACTAAGTCTAATAATTTGATGTAAACCATTATCAAAATGCTAAGAAAGTTACTATTCTTCAATTTATTTAGCCCAGTGTAAGTTGCGATTTTTTTTACAAAAAAATATGAAATTCTTCCTTATCTGGCTATATTAGTAAAATATACTTGAAACTTTTGGCCACATCATAACCAATAATTTTGATCCAGCCATGTCATAATTGCCTCATAACAAGGTATCAACAAAGTGTCCCTTCCTGATCGTCAATTTAGATAATTGTAAATACCCTATTAATATTCTAGTATGCGACTTTTGCTGTGTCTTCATATGAAGAAAGATCACATGAGAAGGGGGTGCTTCTCAGATAAATACAGCATAGGTCAAAAACTTTCCTTTTAGGAGTGTTAAAAATGCTTCAAATAAAAGGGGTGTATTTGGGTTAATTGTATTGGTTATGGGGTTAGTTGTATAGGTAATGTCAAACTTTTGATTGTACCACCTATAATCATATTGAGAAAGTCCCTATCACAAGCTTGGAGTATAGGTGAAATGCTGAAATAGTTCCCACAAGGAGGCCCAATAAAATGGACATATGTTCTCTCAAATAGCAGAAATCTAAAAAAACAAAGCATTGAGATGATTGGTAAAAGATGGCTAAAGTTCAACAAATTTAGCCTAATCCAGACAACCAAAGATCATAATGGGGCTAAAATGGGGAAAATCCAGCTAACTAGCAATTAGATCTCTTCCTAAATGGCTAAAGTCTCTAAGTGCAACTCTTCTCCACCAGCCACATTGTACTTAGGCCTAATGCATCATCAGATGTATGCTTATCAATTACATCAAATTAGTAATTTTGACACTTATCTTCCTTCAAACTCTTCTATCAATGAGTAGCTCATTACACTTTTGGACTCCAACCTTTCAAGAACTGAGTTTCTATGGGCTAACCTAAATTTTATTGGGCCATAACATCTACATGAAAGGTGCATGCCAGGAGCATCTACCAAAAAAAAGAATTACTGATTCACTAAAGTTCATCTCAAAAGCTCAATACTGATTTTAATCAACAGCCATCTACAATTCAAATCACCTAACCCCAATTATAAAACCACTTACATATAAACAAATTTTGAAAAATCAATGAACTAAATAATTCTCAAATCTAACATAACTAGATGCTAACATCCTTAAGACACCAATATAATTTTCTCTTCACTAGCCATACCAAAATAATTCTTAAACTCCGTACTACTCAATTTTATAATCAGCATCATAATTCACTTTAAACGAAGATCAAACATCAATTCCAAAGAAGAGAAGTAACTGAAGGTGACAAGAATGGAGAACTTGGTGCAAATTAAAAGGATTCACATGAATTCCCACAAAAATATAACAGCACATAAACACAGATAAAAATAAAAAGTAAAAAAAATAAAATAAATATCATCCAAAGGCATGTAAATAAATAAAACTTGTCCTACTGAGAGAAGAATCCAGCAAAATAAAAAGTTAAAAAAATACCCATTCTCTTGTTCTGGAAGGTCTTCCACAAACTCTTGCTTCCATGAACTAACATCAATCTCTTGCCCGGTTTTGTCCTTGACTTCATCCGCAAAATATCTAGCCTAGAAATAAGGGCAAGAAGAAATCTTTCAATCAACGCAGAATTCAGATGTAAATATCCTAGTTGATCAATGTGATTGGTCTACACACAAAAAACAAGGGAAACAAACCAAAGGAAAAGGTATCCAGCAGAGCTAATTGCTACATGCATTAAAAATGTGAGAAGAGAATAGAGTAGGGGACTATGTCAAATATGATGCTTTTTCAAGCTAACCTCAATATCTAAGTTAAAAACAAAATTGAAGATTTACCTAACCACATGTGAAGAGTAAAACCAAGTGTAAAAAGTGTTTTGAAAACATTGACAATAATTTACATGAGTTGGACTCCAACTTTTAAACTTGATTTTACATTTGAAAAAAATCATATTATAGAAATTATGGCTGGATGTGAGAAAAGCTGAAATATAAAACCCAAATTCAACCGGAAGAATTAGAGAATGTTCAAACATTAAAAGGTTAAGAATGTTGCTACTTAGTTTGTGAAGATTACAAAGGTAGGTAATCTTTACAGCAACAATCAGGTCTTAATCCCAACGATGGGGACAAGTACATGAATAGAGATTTAAACTCAGCAAATCGAATTTTACTACACATATAACACTCTCAATCCCAAACCTGGGTAAAGGAAATGGGTTGTGGTAGCATATTACTCCCTCTCTAGTGCTAAGAGCCTGAGACTTACAAATCCAATGACCCCCATAGGCCCTTACATAATTTTTACTTTGTTTTAAAAAAAAAAGGTATAAATCATCACACACCCACAACCTCTCACTAACAATGCAAAGTACTATCATCTGATCTATTTTATTTATAGTTAATTTTATCACACTTGAAGGTTTAAAAAAAATTCCTAGACAGTTAGTAATAAAAGCTTACTGACAACATTTTTCAATACATTCACATCTACCAATAATTATAATTTATTCCTCAATAAATCGCAATTCTGTTAGAGTACAAATGCTAAACTCATATTACTATTATTTGAATGCAATGTCAGGGGCAGTAAGCCATTCAAATCCTGAAGATTCTGCTGATGTTGAGTGAGTTAAAAGAGGAAGCTATCTGCCATCTCCAGCAAGTAACCTGGATAATGATTGGCTTGATAGTGTAACTTTTGGTTTCAAAGAGGCAGATTAACATGCGCAGGATTATAACATGATAAAACTCAAATAAAAATGAATTCAGTGCCACCAGTAAAACATAAGTTAAGGCCCCTTTCCTAGGATAACACTAGGAGCAAAAAAAAAAGGCATAGAAAGCTGGAAATATTAAAGTTCAGGATTTACTCTAAAGAGGCTTTTTCGATATTGATGTCTTGTAATTGATGTATTCTTTTATATCTATTTCTAATAAACATATTTTGATAAGAAAATTCAATAAATTCATACAAGATAGATAGATCTCTTTGCGTGGAGTGATAACACATTAACAATTCTGGACCCAATAAAGGCTAGCAATACATACCAATACTCTCAAAACATGAAGATCTCTTCCACCCAATGAGTCTAGATACTGAAATGTTTTATCCTTCTTATTAATGACTGCCAAACACCAATGCACTTCCTTGTGGATAGGAACAAATATCTGCCATGTTGGAACATTTAGGTAAATAAGCACATGTATGATGAAATCAAATGACCATTGAGAAGACGAAAACCTACTTTGTCACACTCCAAGAGTCCATATCCAAGCTTCCTCTGTGAGGTCCATCTTCTGACAGCTTTATAGTCATAGCCATTTCTTCCACCTATCAGCTGCACTCATGAGGAAAATAATAAAAATAATCAATATTATAATCATTTACCAGTAGATAAAGGGTAAATCATCAGAATAGAATAACCAATACTGTATAACAAAGAGTCCATTTTTCAAAAGCACCAATATGACCCTAATCATCAAAGACTATTACAAGGCAGATGCCACCAATAACAGGCAGACATAACTGATAAGACCGAAATGAAATGTTATATACTTCCACCACAGACAACCACCACAAGCTCAGATTTGCAGCAATCACATCCATTTGCAAAATTCAGATCTTAACCACATTATACATACTGGTTATGTGCAAAATCCATTTGCAAAATTCAGATCCCTCAGTCATAGCCATTTCTGCCATAAGACCAGTGTTGATCTATGGTACAGAATATTAGGCTTCTAAGGAGGAGCACATTAAAAAGATGGAGGTTACGGAAATGCGAATGTTAAGGTAGATGTGCAGAAACACTCTGAATCAGAAATGAGGTTATTCGCAAGAAGGTAGGTGTGGCAGGCTTTGCGGACAAACTAAGGGAAAATCGTCTGCGTTGGTTTGGACATGTAAGACGGAGACCCAAGGGTGCACCGAAACGAAAAGTGGAAGAGTGGGACCATGGAGGTGTTAAACGAGGAAGAGGGAGATCGGGAATGACTTGGTTGGAAGGAGTTAGGAAGGATATGAACTATATGGATTTGCATGAGGATGAGGAATTGGATCGTAAGGGATGAAGGAGGAGGATCTTTGTCGATGATTACACGGAATAATCAAATTTTGTTCATGTAGCCAACCCCACCTATGGGATTAAGGCTTTAATTGATTGATTGATTGATTTTATGTGCAAAGAATCATTTCAGTGTCTTTCATTTAAATGAAAAAGTACACACAATCAATATCAAACATGAATGACCCATGAGATCTGAATTCCAACATCACATAACCACCACTATAAAATTGTTAGTCCTAGCAGGTCCATGGAACGAGTCTGGGTCATATCTGGTTACATTTATCAAAATTGTTTTATTAAAATAATATGTAAATTTACAAATTACAATATTACGATATGAACTTAATATTGATATATGTTTAGACACAGACCCAACCTAGACTCTAGCCAGTCATGAACTTTCCAAATCGAGCAGATGGCCCTCCAAAATTTTTTTGTTAGGCTTGTCTTTTCAAGGCTTGTCCAATCCTCTTATCTGCTCCTCAATACATTGTTATACAAAACCATCGACTATTATCCCATAATCTATACAAGCATATGTATAACCCTTAATTGCACGTGTGTAATTCTGATAATCAACGCTTTGTTCTTATATGCTTTAAAAAATAATTCTTAGTTTAATATGTACTAATAAAATTTAAACAAGGGCTACCCATGTTCAATTCAAACTAAAACAAGGTCCTGATACGTTTTTGATAGGTTCAAATCATTTCAACTGAAAGGAAATAAGCTCAAGTACCAAACAAAGTATAGTCCAATAGAAAGCATAAAATCAGCATACTTGGCCAGGGAAATCAATCACAAACCTTCTTATAGAAAAATGTATTGAAGAAATGACAAGTCAAAAATTTCTCTGGCTCTCTTCTTTCCCTCTCTTTCAGCAGTTCAAGATATACATTGATGACCTGCAACCCAGAGAAAAAGGGGGGAGATGTCAGTGACAAACATGCTAATATCCTAGTACAAAGATGAAAAATTGGGAAAAGCAACTTACTTCATCATTCAACCATGCACCGGGTCTCAAGCACTGCAAATGCTCACCAGTGATCTGGATGTTGGAGTTGTCATGGGTGACCAAAATCTTTCTCCTGCAGCAGAAGCAAACAAAAATGTTATACAAGCAAAGCAACACTAGTATACCAAATGATTCATGTTTGATGCTTAAATACCGATTAGTATTTGAAAAGGCACGTGCAACATCTCTCTGCTCCTCTTCTGTCAGCGGCACAAAAGGCTCACGCAGCAAGCCCTGCAATTGCATAGTAAATAACATCAGTAACCTAAAACCCAGAAACAAACATACAAAAACGTTAATCATGTACAGTATGATAATTAGACTTGTCAGTTGTAACAGCCTCAAAGACCAAAGCAATAGCAAGGAAAATCCACCTCTGCTGGTTTCTTCAGCTCCTTTGCTTTCGCCTTCTCCCTTTGTTTCCGCGACACCCGTAAAGACTGCCACTTGGCCTCTTGTATTTTGATTTCAGAATCTCTAGTACTTTGCCTAGGAGAATAATTTCGGTCTACAGTATTCAGCAATTGTCTATATGCCTCACGGCCAAGTGCTACAACTTTACCAGAACGTTCAGCTTTGATCAAATCTGGCACCGCCAAGAGACCTTGAATAGCACCATTTCTCAATGCTTTCCCGTACAATTCCCGGGTCTGTGGCTCTAATTCATCACCTTTCACCACTCTACCGTCATCAGAAACAACTGATCTTACTTCATGGCCATCTTCTACATTCTCCACCTCTTCCCACCCCTTCGAAATCACATTTTCCTTCTCAGGCTCAACTTCCACATCTATAACATTCTTATCCTTACCTACCTTAACATAGCGCAAACCCTTAACGGCAATGTGCTTCGTCTGCTCATCCTTAGTCCACAAATTCCCCATCGATTCCTTCACCCCGAGCCCACTACTCCTACGCTTTAATCCACTCGGCAATGGCCCAAATCTGTTCGACCTAACAGGAGCATGAACCTCCCTTCTTAGCTTCTCCGGTTCCGGATACCGACTTAACCACGACACAGCACTGGGTGGTGGTGAAGTAATCACCTTCTTATGGCTTTGAATACTAATTCTACGTTTCTTCGATGTATGCAATTCAATGTGATTAAGATAATAATGATTATGATTCGATGAAACAATAGAAGGAGATTGATTACATAAACTAAAACATTCATCCACCCGCTTACGATTATTTGTTAGGGCACCCATTGGCTAAACCCTAACCCATCTACCCACAACAATTGCAGATAATAATAGCAATATATACCATCAATTCGACAAATAATCAACGAAATTTGAGAAATATAAACCCTAAGAAAGAGAAAAGAAACTTTCAATCGAACAAACAAGTAAAGAATTCAAACCAGAAAGCGGCGAAATTGATGTCGTATAAACCCTAGAAATTGAAGGAGAGAAATGGCAGGTAAATATGAAATCGAAATTCGGCAAATTAGCGATTGGCGAAGATGGAGAATGGGTGCAGAAGAGATGTGCGTAATTTTGGGTGTTAAAGAAAGAAATTGAAGATTAATGAATTCTGGGGGTTTTGAGAAATTCCCAATTTATGTCCTAGAGTAACCGAAGGAGTATACTAAGCGGCAATGTGGCAATATGCAAAAAAGAAATTAAAAAAAAAATAATAATAATATTGTAGTGACTACTGAGTAGTTAACATTAGGACAAGTCACATCCTCTAAAAAATTAAAAAAAAAAAAAAAAAAAACATCATTTGGTTTTTTTTTTAAAAAAAATTACTTTAAGTAATTCAATATTTGCCCAATTCTCTTATAATAATTCCACCTTTTGATTATTTCAAATTTTTTTGGGATTACTTAGGAAGAATGGAGTAAAGGTTGGACTATTTAAAGCAATTTCTTCTTTTTGTTTTTTGGAAAAATTGCCCTGAATAATTTGACCTTTCACCCCTATTCTAAAAATAAAACGATTTCGGAATAAAATGACCTTTGAGATGCATCTTGTTCAGGGTAAAACTACCCCCCTATCCACGTGGACCAACCACGTGCTAACACGTGTCAGCGTCAGAGAGGTTGTAAGAGAACCAACCCTTTGGTGACACGTGGCACTCCAATCCATGAAAGGGGAACTGATCCCCTTACACTATAAATAGAGGAAAATCCTCATTTATTGCACATTCATAAATATACACACAAAACCCGAGCTTAATTGCAAAATTCTCTCGGAATCCAAGAGAAAAACCTTTACATTTCGCACTTTTATACATCCGGACATGTTCTAACTTGATCGTCGGAGGCGGAACTCCACCCATCCGGAGTTTTCCGTGGTTTTGTAGGTACAAATGGTCGACGCACATTCTTGGAATCGTAACTCTCCCGAGGGACTCCAAAAAACCTCGAAACATTTGGCGCCGTCTGTGGGGAGAGTACTTCTAAGATGGCTTCACAGCAGTCTGTACCGCCTGCCAATGAGAACCGGCCTTTGGTCGGAGTAGAGGTCTATATTGTAGGGTTTTGTAGTGACCCGACACTACGCGGAAGGAAACCCCCCAAGACCCGCCCCTTAATTAAAGCAATTAACAAGCATAATAAACTTAATCAAACAAGATTAAGAACAAGAATTATACCTTTGTTGCGTGCTTCGCTCCCGAAGAGCTCTTACTTCAAAATCCCGAAACTACGAGATCTCCGACGGATCGTACCTTCGACCCGACCCAAGCGTCCCAAGTCTTGAAGGTTAGTCAAGACCCGGACAAAAAAAAACTATGAGTTTTACGAATCAAAGGTTTACTCTAATTACAAGAGTTGCCTTTTTAATTCCACTCAAGGTTGTTTATTTCCCAATACTATGCCTTTGGTATTTATAGGGAAATGCACCCTTGATTTCCAATCTCCCATCAATGTGGGAGTGTTGGTAAAATCAACAATTTATTTAATTCCAAATTAAATAAATAATCAACTTAATCACATTGCGACAAGTGGCACAATCATATGCAAATGAGTGATGGCCAAGGCTAGGAGGGGGGACCATTTGCCTTGCTCCCCAAGGCCCTTGATTGGTCCCCACATGCATGCACAAAACCGGGTCAAGGAGGGCTAGCTGGCTGCCAGCTAGCGTGCCAGCTAGTGCTGCCAGCTAGCATTGCCTTGCTGCCCAGCATCCCAGCTAGCCAGTGCATGCTGGTGTTGGGCTGTGCTGATGCTGGTGCTTTGTGTTAGCGCCTGGCACTGCTAGCACATTGTGCTGGCGCTGGCCCCAGCATCCCACGCACCACACGCATCCCCGCTGCACCTCTCGCACATGCTCGCATAGCCAGCATGCGTGCTGCTAGCGAGCCACGCATGCTGGCCCCCTTGCCTCGCACCATACGCGTCAGCCTCGCAGCACCTCTCGCACATGCACTAGCATCTACGCACCAGCCTCGCGCAACATGCTTCAGCCTCGCACCATATGCACTAGCCACGTACCATACGCACTAGTCACGTACAGCATGCATGAGCCACGCACCACGCACCAAGCATTGCTAGCCCAGCTAGTGCGCCTCTACACGCAAGGGCCTAGCATGCGTGTTGGGCGATGCTATGAGGCATCCACGCACTAGCACATGCGCTAGTGCCTAGCATTGGCTGTGCTTGGTGTTGTGGCTCTGCCATGCGCGCCAAGCATTGTGCTAGGGCAGCGATGGTGCCCAGCCATCCTATGGCACGCATTGTGCGCCTAGAGATGCTGTATGGGCTGCGATGGTGCCCAGCCATCCTAGGGCACGCATGGTGCGCCTAGAGATGTTGTATGGGCTGCGATGGTGCCCAGCCATCCTAGGGCACGCATGGTGCGCCTAGAGATGTTGTATGGGCTGCGATGGGCTGCGATGGTGCGCCTAGCACACCTAGTGTGCTTAGGCTTGCGCCTAGCCATGCTAGGTGCATGCTAGTTCGAACTAGCCTAGCATCCACATGGATAGGCCAGTGTGGTGCTAGGGCTATGTTCATACTTGTCGCTTTGTGATTTTGCGACGCTCGGTCTCGACGCCCTAGGCTCGATATCCGACGTCTCTATTCGTAAAACTTTGTCAACTCATTAAATCCGTTCGGATTAATTCGTCGTCTCGGATCGGTGATTCGATTGGGTTCGACCCAAAGGGTTCAGTTAAGATTAAGCTGTAATATCAATTGTACTTTGATATTACTGATCGGAAGCGGCCTCCACCTAGGCATTCCGATCACTTGATCTTACTGAAGAATTAACTCTATAATAATTCTGAACCCTCTATCAGAAGAATACACTTGTTGGAAGGACACCATTCCTTTTAATCTCCCACTTGTCCTTCCGGATAAGTGTGCATACAGTGTATAGCCCATTTCCTGTGTCTTTTAATGTTTCTTCGTGAACTATAAGGTAAGATTCATCGTCATCCTTATTACGTTCAGAAGTGTTTCTCGATCTCCGAGTTCGACTGTCAATAAGCAGATGATTTCTAAAATCCATCTAAGCACGACCATGCATTTTCACAGTCTTTCTCTTCGAGCGGCCTTGTAAACAACAAAACATCTTCCCTATTGTTAATAGGGGGACAATCCCAGTCTTGCATTGTAAGTTCCTCTTACTAAGAGGACTTAGTCTCCCGAGTGTTTCAATTATGATCCCCAGTTACGGCAGACGTTAGGAAACATCAAAGAGTCTAGTACTCAAACAAGAAAACTTCACAATACTCATGGTCGGAGGAAACAGGTTCCGATAATCATAATGAGAAATGTACTTATGACAATTTTTGAAATTTCTTAAAGTACTCTCATAGGTCTTATCTAGTACAGTTCCAAACTGTACCTGTGCAAATGATTTATGACTGTCACGTCCTCGCAGCACAAGAAACGGTGTTGTAAATCATACTACACACTAATCTATGGCGGTCATCAATCGTCCATCCGTTAGATGACCTTGATTAGGGACAGTTTTCGATTTAAATATTCAATGTTCACTTAACAGGTGTTTCTTTATCCAAGACATGGTCTTGATACCCTGTTTTGAATATTTTCGTAAATCGAATGGACTCATTATTTAATTCTAAACCACAATTAAATAGTAATGGAGTGAATGATAATTTTGCACAAAATTAATTACTCCATAAATGAATGGTTTCATTACAGTGTCTTACATTAAACATCCTATTTAATTAGTACACATGTACAGGGAATTTCAAAGCCAGTCTCCAACATGCTTGATTCCCATCGCCTCAATGTACTTGTTGTGTTTCACTTGAGGCAGCGGTTTAGTCAAAGGATCGGCCACATTGTCATCTGTGCCAATCTTACAAATTCTGATTTCACCTTCGGATTTCCATTCCTTTATCATGTGAAATCGCCTTTGCACGTGTTTGACCTTCTGGTGTTCTCTCGGCTCCCTGACCTGAGCGATAGCTCCATTGTTATCATAATAGAGGTCTATCGGCCCCTTGATTGAGGGTACAACACCAAGTTCGCTGATGAACTTGCGAATCCAAACAGCTTCCTTGGCAGCTTCTGAAGCGGCCAAGTACTCGGCTTCAGTTGTAGAGTCTACAGTGGTGCTCTGCTTGGCACTCTTCCAGCTAAACGCTCCTCCATTTAGGCAAAATATGTACCCTGACTGTGACTTGAAGTCGTCTCTGTTAGTCTGGAAGCTAGCGTCGGTGTAACCTTCAACAACCAGTTCTTTGTGGCCTCCATACACTAGGAATTTATCCTTGTTCCTTTTTAGGTGCTTTAGGATATTCCTGGCCGCAGTCCAATGCGCCTCTCCTGGGTTCGATTGGTATCGGCTCGTTGCACTCAAGGCATACATTACATCTAGCCTTGTACATATCATGGAATACATGATCGATTCAATCAGCGAAGCATATGGGATATGATTCATTCTTTCTTGCTCAACAGGTGTCTGTGGACACTGTTTCTTGCTGAGAGTTATGCCATGGGACATGGGTAAATGCCCTCTCTTGGCATTCTCCATGTTGAATCGAGCCAGTTCCTTATCAATGTAAGTACTCTAGCTTAATCCAATCATCCTTTTACATCTATCTCTGTAGATCTTGATGCCCAATATGTACTATGCCTCTCCTAAGTCCTTCATTGAAAAGCACTTTCCCAACCAGCCCTTTACTGACTCCAGTAATTTTGTGTTATTTCCAATGAGAAGTATGTCATCGACATACAGGACTAGGAATGCAATATCACTCCCACTGACCTTCTTGTATACACAAGACTCATCTGGATTCTTGATAAAACCAAACTTGCTAATGGCTTCATCAAATCGCAGATTCCAACTTCTGCTGGCTTGCTTTAGTCCATAAATGGACTTCTTTAGCTTGCAAACCTTTCCAGCGTTGCTTGGATCGACAAAACCTTCTGGCTGTGTCATATACATAGTTTCTTCCAAAATTCCATTTAGGAAGGCGGTTTTGACATCCATCTGCCATATTTCATAATCGTAATATGCAGCAATCGCTAGGATGATCCGGACGGATTTTAGCATTGCATCTGGTGAAAAAGTTTCATCATAGTCAATCCCGTGGATTCGTCTATAACCTTTTTCCACCAGTCTAGCTTTGTATATCGATACATTTCCACCCTTGTCTGTCTTCACTTTGAAGATCTATTTGCAACCAATGGGTGTATACCCCTCGGGCAAATTCACCAAGTCCCAGACTTGATTTTCTGACATGGAGTCCATCTCGGATCTCATGGCCTCTTGCCATTTTGCAGAGTCGGGGCTCGTCATAGCTTGCTTGTATGTCGCTGGCTCATCACCATCCATGACTAGGATGTCCAGATCATCGGTTAAGACGAT